GTGTGTAACAATGGTGGAGAAATACAGACTAAAACTTATCTTAGTGAATCCTATTATTTAACCCTTGAAGAGCCATAAACCTACAAGATTTAACAAAAAATCCCGAGAAACTCATTAAAATATCATTATAAATCATTAAAAATCACAAAAAATCATAAAAAAGCTACGTCGAGGGACGTATCGTGAAAGCAGATGATACAAATTTAAGGATATGTCTGCGTGCCCTAATTTTCTCTCATATTTTGCTGTTATTTGTTTATGGCTGTTTGTTACTTTTAGCAATTGCTTTCTTGCAATTCAACGGACTAGCGGCATGGCATGGAGGAAGAGATAGGGGGCAGCAGGCCGGCCGGCCGGCATCCGTGGCTCAGTATTGTTGGGTATTGTTGGTGGGAACGGGCGGGGCCGGCGACTTCTCGCGCCCCTTATACATATGGGTGATGTCATGCGCTTTGGTTCTCTGCCCTTATCGAGAGTACAAGCTAGCCGACACCTTAAAGTTACTTATTTATTCTTTATGTTTAGTCAAAAGCTATTTAAGGTATCATCTGCTAACAACTAAAAGTCAGAAAAAATCAGAAAAATCAAGAAAAACAGTAAAATCGGTGTACGCTAGAATTTATAGTGAAGGACCCCTCGGTTGTTCTGGCCCTCTCTCCCTCTAATCCGCCGACCGTTTGAGTGGGTTTCCCAGTGATCACACGGAAATCTGACGCACATTTAGCACAAATTTTGACTCCCGTAATTTGTCATTAAGACGTCCACACGACGTTCTCGTGACATGACTGGAGTATGTTTGTGCTCAACGCTACCGCCCCGCGTCCTGCCCACAGGCGCTGCTGCTGCCCGACCTGCCCGACCTGCCCCTGCTGCAGGTGCTCTCCTACCTGCCCGACGAGGCCCTGTTCGCCCTGGGCCGCACCTGCCTGCGCCTGGCCGCGCTCACCAGGACGCAGCCGTGGCGGGACCGCCCCAAGCTCACGCTCAACACCGAGGAAGTGAGGGACCTGCTGAGGGTGGCCGCTCCTCCAGAGGCCGTATGGATCGTCATCGCAGACACCGCAAAGACCTCGGAGTTTTGCTTTGGGGTACCCGACAGCTATATCACGGGATGTCTCGACAGTGACAGCCGCGTCCACACCAGCTGCCCACCTCGATTGCTGCTCATGGAATTGATTAGCGTGACGTCACAGGATGCCTTAATCCGGGAGGTAGCCAAGACAACAAAAAGTGTTGAATTCCTTATTGAAGGTCTGGACGTTATTTTCCGTTCATTGAAAGAAGCGAGCTGGAGCCAGCTGGAGCACCTTACCTTGAGTAGGGTAAACCTGCACGAACAGCTGACTCTGTTGTGGCCGCAGGTGAGAACGCTCGCTTCCATATGCCGGCCAGGTCGGAAAAGGTACCGTACCGTCACGTCCATGTCCGCAGGATTTGGCGCTGCCGAGGCTGCGCACCGTGACTCTCCAACCACGCTACGGCCGAATATCCGACATGCCCT